GTTCCACCAGTCTGGTAGATAAATCTTGGGCAAAGACCAATTGTTCTCAGATAAACCTTACCTAGACATATATTTCTTGATCTTCTATGTATAATTTGTCAGTAGGTTCTGGGACTAATATGGTTCCCTCTGGTTTTTAAAACTAGCTAGGCATTATTTATCTCTCCCATTGTCTCACCCCTTCATCATGGTTTCCCCAATTAAGGTGCCCCTACCCCTCACCCCTTTCTCCCTTTATAATACCCTTCTCCTACGGTCCTACCTCTCTTGAGCTCCTTATTTCCCTTTATCCCCTAGGTTGCTTGTATACCCCTAACCCTCCCCGCTCCCTTAAACTAACCCAATTTTTAGCCATATCTCCCTTATTAAGACCTGTTTCCTACTGTTCTTCTCTTTGAGGTTCTTTCTTTTCCTTTACCTCCGTTTCCTTTCCATTATCCTGGTTCCTGTAGTTAAGTCTGGTTACATACTCACTTAATCAGAGCCTGGTTCTAGGATCCACATGTGAAGGAGAACATATGTCAATTTTTTTTTTTCTGAGTCTATGTTACTTCACTTAGTATAACAGTTTCTAGTTCCATCCATTTACCTGAAAATTTCATGATTTCATCTTTCTTTACTGCTGAGTAAAACTCCATCATATACATGAACCACATTTTCATTATCCACTCGTCAATTGAGGGACACTTAGGTTGCTTCCCTCTCTTAGCTATTGTGAAAAGAGCAGCAACAAACATGAATGTACAAGTGTCTCTGCAATATGATAAGTTCTTTGGGTGTATGCCAAGGAGTGGTATAACTGGGTCAATTGCTGGTTTCATTTGTAGTTTTTTAAGAGTTCTCTACACTGCTTTCCATAGGAGTTGAACAAGTTTGCAGCCCCACCAGCAGTGGGTGAGTGTTCCCCTTTCCCCACATATTCTCCAACATTTGGTATCATTTGTTCTCTTGATCTTAGCGAGTCTGACTGGAGTAAGATGAAATCTTAAAGTGGTTTTAATTTGCATTTCCTTAATTATTAGTGATGTTGAACATCTTTTAAGATGCTTCATAGCCATCTTTACTTCTTCTTTTGAGAACTCTCTGTTCAGCTCCTTAGCCCATCTTCTAATTGGGGTACTCCTTGTCTTGAATCTCTGTTTTTTGAGTTCGTTATATATTCTGGATATTAAACCTCTGTCGGATGTGTCTCTGGTAAAGATTTTCTCCCATTCTGTGGGTTTTCTGTTCACTTCCCTGGTTGCCTCCTTTGATGTACAGAAGTTTTTTAGTTTAATGAGGTCCCATTTGTTAATT